AGGAGAGAAGGGCTGGCCTTGAGTGTGGACAGGTGTCGTTACATGGACTGGGTTCCAGGGTTGAATAACAATGAAAATGCCAAGGCCGGTGTCCCTGCTGCATGAGTTCTGGTTTCCCCACTGTGGAGTCTTAGCTGCCTGCTGCCGCCACTATGAACACCTCCACCTTCCCCTCCAGCATGGATTGGACCCGTTTAATCTCTGAGCCAAAAGAGAGTCTTTTGTGGGTCATTTTTGAAAGAAACGAAAACATAAGCAATACAAATTCCAACCATTCTCTCTGTGGCTCCCACCCTGGCTCTCCTTGAGAAATAGAGGAAAGGGCCTTGGGCCTTGAAATGCTGCTGTCTGTCTGTACACTGCCTGCCTCTCTGAGAAGACCTTTCCTCTCTCAGCAAGGAAGGACAATGGTTTCTCACCGCTGGCCCTGGCCAAGCATGTTTTCACTCCATTAGTCTGAAGCACACAGGAAGGAGCGTGTGTCATTTAAAAGGGGAGGGGTGTTTGTGTTTTTCTGTATCTTGCTTATGTTCTCCTGCGGCCAATATGCATTTCACAGTTCGGTAAACTGCCCAGCGACTCCTCCACCTGAGGGTAAGAGATGAGCTGTGCTTCATCTCCCTTGCAGCCTGGCCCTGGAAAATTGTTCCCATGCCTTTCACAGTCCCCCTCGGAAGCCAAGAAACCCTCCTCACAGGGAGAGTAACCTTGTAGTGGCAACAAGGTTTTCTCTTGGTGGTTCTCTTGTGTGGAGGAGCTGTGGATGCTTGCGTACTGTTTGTGAGCACGAAGTCTAAAGCCCCTTTAGAGGCTCCACAGATTCTTTGTGTGCCCCCCCACCTCTTCAGAAACTCTGCTCAAGATCTCTCAGCTATGGGGGCTGCTGGACTACAGGGAGAGAGGCCAGCAAGTCTCTCCTCCTGGCTGTGTGAAGTGTGGGGGTCAGAGCTGCCAGCTGTGAGGAAAAAAAACTGTTGACTGGAAACCGAATGGCAACAAAGACCCCCTACGGAGCAGGCGTCATTGCCTCAAGGGGGAACATGAAGGACTTGAAGTACTCAGATACTTGCTCTCCCCTCCAAGATATCCCCATCCCCCGCCCCAGTCACCAAAACATCATCCCCAGTAAGTCTTAAGTTGATGCCAATATGGAGTATGAAGAAAATACCATGAAGCCAAAACATTGTAAAGCACACCGGCCTTTATTTCAACCTCATTAACAAGATTCTTGGGAGAGGAGGGGCCTGGACCGAAGAAGGTCTTGCTCTCTGTGGTGGCCCCGTGTCTTGGACTCCTGTGGGCTCAGCCTCGGACTGTTCAGCATGCTCTCCTAAGAAGGAAAGAGAGAGACAAGTGGACGCTCAGGAGCCTTGTGGGAACTGAGGGGAGGTCTGGGGTGCTCTCTGGGGGAGAGGAAGGGGGCATCCTGGCCTGCTGTGAGGGATGAGAGGGGCAGGGGCAGACTCAGAGCCCTCACCTGAAGAACTTGGACACGCGAGCCAGGGCTCTCTGGAACCGCCCTTCCAGGTCCTTCTGGGAGGAGCAGCCTCCCTGGTTCCCCATGGTGTGAGCAAAGGCCACCCCTTCTGGGGAGTATTGTTGGCTTCTCAGAGTCTGAAAAAGAGAGTTGAGGCCTCATCTTTGCGGCCCCTCATGGGTGCCGTCTATCACCCCATTGGGCTACTGTGATGTGCACTGCTGGTTGAGGTGCTGAGGATGGAGAAGTGGGGAGACCTGCCCTGACCACACCCAGCCCCCCGGAGGATGTTCCCGACCACATGGAAGTGAGTCTGCCCAGCTGGTAGGAAGAAGGGGCATGAAGACCATGCTTCCAAGAGAGTGTGTAATGCACCAGTGACACCCCCTCCAGGACTTCTTTGCACATACCTGAGCTCCCCCCTAGGCTGGGTGCAGAGGTGGAGGCCTGCCCCCTGCGTTGGCCTAAGCCCCGCCCCTCCATGGCCCTAAGCCCTATTGCTTCTTCCTTGGTTCCTCCCTGCTTCAGTTCAGTACCTGGTGCTCAACCAGTGGATACATTTCTGGTGTGTGGCCTGCGTCCCAACTCCCGCCCCTCAGAACTCTCTTTGTTTCTTCCTTTGCTTTTTATCTTCACTCTGGCCAGCTCAGCAGCCCGAACGCAAGTTGTGCTGGCTGAACTGAAAATGCAGAGGCCTTCGGTTATACGGTGAGTTCTCCTTCCGTGGGGTTTCCACGGACAAAAGTGCCCACGAGGCCTGTCTGTGGTAGCCGCACTGAGTTAGGACTGAGATGTTTCTCATGGCCCTCACAAGGTGCACGGTCCAGATGGTTCATAAAAGCCGAGAACAAGGGCTGGGCATGGCGCCCTGAGGCCAGAAGGCCTGGACCTAGTGTTTCTCTGTGAGGGCTTGCTCTGCACAGGTCACCCGCATGTCTGCTCCTGCATGCTTCTGGTGACCGATGGAAAGTATTCGGCGGCCTGGACAGCTTCTACAGTGTGCAGGACAGTTGTCAGGGGTCCAGACATGGGTTTTTCCATTTAGCACTTTACACTTAGAATCGTGATTGTTACGAGTTATGTCTTGCAAGTTGTTGGAGCCATTGACCTTTGTTTGCTTTTTTTCCTTAAGGGCATCCACTTCTTTCTCTGTGCCATTTCCTGATGTAATTTTCGTAGAGCCCTGTTGGGCTGTTCGTGGCCTTCCCTTGATTTCAGTGTCTGCCCTGTCCTAAGGTGACTCCGTGCCTTGCTGCTTACCACCATGTTGTGGGATGATGGCGAATTTCCAGAGTTCAGTCCTCCATCTTGTCCTCATCCAAATGTCGTTAGCCATGTTGTGTCGTATGCATTGCTAGAGAACTTTGAGCAATAACTTTTCCTTTTATTGATGATTACAGAGTGGAAATCCTGACCTTTTGAATGTTTTGATCAGTGAGTACAGTATACTTTTCAGTGATTGTGCCAATATTCTTTTTTTTTTTTTTTTTTTTTTTTTTGGTTTTTTTTGAGACAGGGTTTCTCTGTGTAGCTTTGCGCCTTTCCTGGAACTCACTTGGTAGCCCAGGCTGGCCTCGAACTCACAGAGATCCACCTGGCTCTGCCTCCCGAGTGCTGGGATTAAAGGCGTGCGCCACCACTGCCCGGCTTTGTGCCAATATTCTTAACAGATATTTTCTTTATTTTAGTATTATTCAAGATGTCATTTAAAACACTTTGAGCCTCCAGTTAGTTATTTCTAATATATTGAATTTTAGTGGGATTGTGCCTACGAAATTTTCTATCAAATACCTTGTATAGCATTTCAAACATTTAGAGATGCCTTTTATCTGGAATGTGGAGTATTTCCTTTATCAAATATTATGTCACTTTTTAAGGAAGAAAATCCAGAGATGTTTTTTGTTCAATGAAATGCAATTAAGTATTCATAATTGGTCAAAGTGCAGAAAACATTGTTTTTGGAACGTTCAGCCATAAATGGGACATCTGTATCATATGCTCCCCCTTCCCTCCACTCCTTCCCTCACTCCCCTCTTCCTTGTCCCCCACCCACCAAGGTTCAGAGAACACTTGAAAGAGGAGGCAGGGGTAGTTTGAGACTAAAAGTCAGGAAAGACCAGGGCAAAACAGTGTCTTCTGCTCTTGACATGTCCACTGTACTTGTGAACTCATAGCACAGATCTTGCAGACTATCCAGCCAGTCACTAATCTAGCATGTTTGGGGGAGGGGCTCATGAGGCTCCACACCTTCCTCAGGAGTTATGGACAGCTGATAGCCCTGGAGGCTAGGGAGAATTGGCTTTCTCTAAAGTGTGGCCTCGGTGAGTCAGCCATGCTCCTGTGGATGGTGCCACACTCAGGATGGCACATGACGTCTTGGTGGATGGTTAAAGAAGAAGAAAGAGGACACAGAGTTTGGAGGGTGGGAAGGTAGATGGTGGTCATAGGAAGAGTTAGGGGAGGAACGGGTGTGAATAGGTTAAAAATGCATTGTATTAACATGTCTCACAAGGTTGATGAAAATACTCCACACAAAAAGAGGGCATGGTGGGGGTGGGGTGGGTCTGGGAGGAATCAGGGGAGGAGTCAGGTAGAATATGATCAAAATACATTGTGTGCATATATGAAATTATCAAAGAATTAATAAAAATATTATAGTAAAGTACATAACTAAAAGACAGTCTTTTACTTCCTCCCTTTCAATCTATATGCCTTTTATTTATTTTGACGGGTTTTTTTGTCCCTATGTGCCAGCTATGGCCTAAAGTTTAATGTGTGCATATGGTTAGAGGTCTGTATAGAGAGATATTCTGGCTCATTTCTGAATTTTTGGTTGGAGTTGTCTAGTCTGTCTTTTCAGTATCATGTGTTTTCTGTCATCAATACAGTCTAATTCATGTACACGTGTGTATAGGCATAAATACACCCAAGAGGAAGAGACAGCATTTAGAGAAAGAAAAGAAAAGAAACCAAATGGTAGTGGAAACAAGAGAGTAATGAAGGAAAGTAAAGATGAAGGTCATGCTTTCTCATGTATGGAGTCTACATCCAAGTGTGAGTGAGGGAGTGAGGGAGTGGGTGTGGGTGACGTGGAAGTAAAAGAGGAACTATTTGTGTGTAAGAAAAGGACTGGGTAGAACATGAGTAAAGGAGGGCAATGGAGGTATGTATGAGTAAAGCACAATGGTAAACGTGTGAAAATGTCATAACTAATCCATCATTTTGAATGTTAAACAAAAAATATAAAAATAATATTAAGATTATATGTATTAATGAAAAAGAATTATTTGTCTTTTCACCAATAAGTATGTTTCTAGCAGTGAATTTTTGGTAGACGTACTTTATTGGATTGAGGATATGTCCTTGTGCTCCTACATTGTCAAATTTTTAATATGATATTTCTCATGAGTGGTCTTTTATGTTGTTAAATGTCTTTTCTGTCATACATCTTTGTAACTGCTGTTCTTTTATTTTGTCCCACTAATACAGTAAAATTCTTTGGTGTATTTTTTTTTTTGAGACAAGATCTCACTCTAGCCTAAGCTATCCTGGAATTCACTGTGTAGCCAAGGCTGGCCTCAAACCTGTTGGAATCCAGTTGTCTGAACCTTCTGAATGCTGGGATATAGGTATATGCCACCAGACCCAGCTTTAGTATTGGCATTTAAATGGAAATTGTCTTGTATTCCTAGGGTAAACTATGCTTGATATCGGGTATTTTTCATACATTCTTGGATTCAAATTGCTAAAATTTCATGAGAGAGGTTTGCATCTATGTTCATAAGGAATACTGGCCAGTAATTCTTCCTATACCATCTTTTACTTCTCCATAAAAGTGTTGAACTTGTTAACTAAATTGGGAAGTTCTTTCTTTCACTTTCTAAAAAAGCTCTTGTCAGATTGCTGTAGCATTTTGTTCATTGGACATAATTAAATTTCAGTTATGCTTGAGGCATGTACTGAGCCAATGAATAACGTATGACATTTCAATGAGGCAAGTTATGGTGACTGGTGCAACTTGGGAGATTCAACCTAGTCCCAACACACCAGCAGATTGCTTGTTCAAATAAGGGGATAAAAGCATTTTTGCCTCTTAAGTCTTGGGAGTGTCAAAATTGTGTGTTATTTTCCTGTGTGTAGTGTCTGGGAAAGGAAATGATCAAGCTTCTGCTATATGTAACTAACATTAGGTCTTCAATCCCCCCTGCTTTAGGGAACTACGTAAGGCCTTGTCTGTTGTGAGTGCCCCCAAGAAGAAGCAGGGTATACCGATAAAGAAACGCCTGCTTCGGAGACAGAGAAGGATTATGGCCACGGCCCCTAAATCGCACATGCATGCCAAGAAATTGACTGTGGAAGAAGGAGTTTGCAGTAAGTGTCTTTCACTAGATAGGGGACCTGAACTTGGGGAAGAAGCATGAGTATTTCTGTCACTAGTCCCATCGCTGACTTACAGTGTGACCTTTAGCAAGAACTTTCTGGTGTGTTAAAAAAAAAATAAAAGAATCATGGTCAGGTACCAAGTGTTTACAGGAAGGAATGATTTGGCAAGGCATTGGGGAGCCGAAAAGATCAATAATAACATGAGGCTTCAGTACGGGTATGGGGTGTTTTATAAAGGAGGTGGTAGGGGAGGAAGTCTCAGCCCAAATGTGACTATTATTTTATAGCTGGAAAGAACACTGTACATCAGCTCCAGGCCCAGGTTGACACAGCAACCCAGGAGGTAAGAAGAGCCTGTTGCCCAAGGGGGATTTCCCCATCAGCCATTGCCCAGACCCTTTCTACTATATCCCGAAGACAGTTTCCATTTCTAACCCTATGACCTACTCCTCTTGTGGCACTGGAAAAATCACTTCTCCCTGGACCTCAGTTTTCTCAAATCAGAGTAAAAGGTAAGGCTGGATGGTCTTCAAGGTTTCCACAGCTCTGATTTCTGTGTTCTTATTTTCATACAAAAATATACTCATCCTTTATCTCTCTGTGAACATCTGGGTGCCTGATCCTCATTTTTTATCTCTGCCCCCTTCAGGAAAGTTCTCAAGGGCCTGTGCTGCTGAGTCAGCTCCCAGAACCAACATCTGTGCCGTATACTCCAGAGACCCTGGGGCAACAACTGACGGTTTCCCTTTCTGGGGAGCCCCATGGGCCCTCTGCCATGCCAAGCATGTGAGTAGGACCAGGAACACAGAATGCACTGTGTTTGCAGATTTCCAACCTTGCGCTTAGTGCCACGGGAGCTAGTAACATCAGGAGGATGACAACAGGAAGAAGGAAGTAGATGATTGGGGAAGGAGAAATCAGC